AACAGAGTGCGAAGATTCTATGTAGCAAAACTCACTGTCTTTTGATAGCTTCCTATTGGACAGGGTGATCCAGCAAGGAGTGGATGACACAGTATAGGTTTAGGGCACCTTTCCTAGCCTTTCTTTTGGAGGGTGATCAGAGGGGATCTTAGAGGACTGCTCAGTCACAATAATAGCTGTTGGATTTCACCGTGTCTCAGTCCAGGTACCAAATGGCAATCTAAATGCTGTTGCCCACATGCAATTTGTGGGTAGGAATTAACTGATTGACTAATCCTATTCATGTTGCTATTAGTCCATTGCAACAGGACTTGGAATATTGGAGAGATGTTCTTTCCCATAGTACAAGCCTGCATGTATCTTTTTTTTTAATATGGTGCACCTTTTAAGCCAAAGCATCTATATTGACCAGATAATCATGACAAGGTCTGGAGCCCAGTGAAAGTCTGAGACTGTATGTATATGTCTAACTTGCTGCCGCCTTCATCTACTTTCACAGCTATTGAGAGCTGAGGACTCTCTTAAGTCTGATCTAGGGATGTGAACAGGTAACTGGTTACCCAATAAGTGTCATCATCATCAGGTGATACTTACCGGGAACTGGTTAACCAGTACCTTGGAGCAACCCCCTACCTGTGGCCTACCATGGGCAGAGGGCTGCTCTAGCCCCGAATGTGTTAGAAGCAGGAGCTGCCCCACACCCCCATGCAGAGGGACAGGTAGCAGCAGCTGGGAGCCCTGCGGGGGTGCGGGAGTGGGATCCTGCTTTAATCAGTTATTCTCTGATACCTTAGGTTTAACTGGTTAACTGATTAACCAGGATTTAACATCCCTTGTTTGATCTACCATTGAGGATTTGGGATTACAGGCAGTCCCCGGGTTACGTACAAGATAGGGACTGTAGGTTTGTTCTTAAGTTGAATCTGTATGTAAGTCGGAACTGGCGTCCGGATTCAGCCGCTGCTGAAACTGACCGCCAGTTCTGACTTACATACAGAATCAACTTAAGAACCCCAAGCGTCCCCAAGTCAGCTGCTGCTGAAACTGATCAGCAGCTGATTCCAGGAAGCCCGGGGCAGAGCA